AGGTTTTCCTAGGTGAATCAGTCCGTATTTGCTAGAGAAACATATATAATACAAGATATACAAATATATATAAGACTGTACGAGATTAGCTTGCAACAGCCATCCACAGAATAGGATGTGCAAACGTACTGAGGGTCTGTCTGCACACTGGAGATCTACAGAGTCCAGTCAGAGGCCTGGGGCTCTCTGCACGGTGAGAGTCCATGTCAGCAGGCCTGGGAGTCTGCCCAAAGGCTGAAGGATCTGTGGCAGAAGCTGAAGAGTCTGCGCTGGAAGCCAGGAAATTACATCTAAGGTGAAGGTTGAGACAGACGGGAACAGAAACAAAAGCAGGTCTGTCCTTCATTTCCCCTTTGTACCAGGTGACAAGCCACCCTGGGGTGTGAAATTGCTGAGCCAATTTAGTTGAGCTTTCCTTACTCAAGTTCACAGAGTCAATCAGCCATCACAATCCACCCCTTGTCAACTTGACAACCACACACATTCCTTTTTTTGGTACCTGGGATCAAACTCACAACTGTGCATTTGGAAGGCAGGCACTTATACTGCTAAGCCAGACACTTTTTTTTTTTTCTTCTTTTTTGAGACAGGGTCTCGCTGTGCAGTTCAGGCTGGTCTTGGGCTCACTTTGTAGCCTAATCTGGTCTTGAACTCTCAAGGATCCTCCTGCCTCAGCCTCCTGAGTGCTGGGATTACAGGTGTGAGCCACCACGTCCAGCTAGACACGTTTCTTTAAACAGTCTCCAGGTACAAAGACAAGCCCATAATTACTCCTAATATAACTATTCTGCATACAAATGGAAACACCAATTGCCTCCCCAGAAATAGGAAACAAATTTTCTTTGGGTGAACATTTCATACTCTTAACATTTCATAACTTGAACATTATAATATAGGTTTAACAATCCTTAAGAACTAGTATTAAGTCTGTCAACATTATATTACACTAGAATTGTATCAAGAGAGAAATAGTACAATTATAATCCTTGTTTCTGTAGCTGAACATTGAGTCACAGCTGATATTTAGAACTACCTTCTCCCACTACCCATTCTGTATTCCCTTGGCCTTCAGCAAGCACCTCAGCAGATCTTGGTTCCTACCCTGGTGGAGGGACCCATACCTTCATTCCTGAAGCTTCTGGAGCATTTGTCATTGTGCTTGAATTAGATTGTTGTAGTTTTCCATTGACTTTAACCACAGGGGCACGGTAATACTAAGAGGAACCCAAAGGGATCTAGTGCACTCCAAGTATATTCTTTTTTTTTTTTTTTTTTGTCTTTTTCCTTTTTATCAGTACCAGGGATCGAACTCATGACTGCCTGCTTGCAAGGCAGGCGCTTATGCCGCTGAGCTAAATCCCCAGCCCCTCCAAGTATATTCTTTATTTGCTACATTGTGGAGTGATAGACTAATCTCCCCTTGTCAATCACCTTGAGAACACTGTGACTCTTTTTAGCTTGGTTTCTCAGAGGGATGAGGAGAACAGAATGACCAGGGGTAAGTCTTAGCTTCCATCAATGGCATTATTGTTGTGTTTCCTGGCACATGTCTTTCCCGCTCTGGAATTAAGACTTCCAAGCCAGCAGAACATAAGGTAACAGGAACAGAAAGCAAAAATTTGCTAGTGGCTCTGATACCATTCCCATTTCCACACCTTGATTCCTGACCCATGAATCCTGGCTGTGGGTGACAGAGTACCATGTAAAAGACACTGATTCACAGCATGTACAACCCTTTGAAGAACCTTGCCCAGCCCTGCAAGCTTTTGCCACCTAGCCATGCTGTAACCGTGTCCTCAAAAGACTTTTCCAACTATCAGTCCAGCCACTTCTGGATGGTAAGGAACATTCGAAGACCAGTGAATTCCCTGAGCATGAGCCCAGTAACTCACTTCTTTAGCCATAAAATGTGTTCCTCAGTGAGGGGCAGTGCTATGTGGAATTCCATGATAGTAGATAAGGCATCCCGTGAGTCCACGAATGATAAGTTTACCAGGGGTCAAACTCATGACCTTAAACTCACTAGGTAGGCACTGACACCTCTGAGCTAAATCACAGCCATGGATGATGGTTTTGACAGAAGCATTACATTCAGGAAACACTAAATTCATATCCTGAATAAGTGTCTATACCAGGAAGGACCAAGCATGTCTCTTCTATGATGGAAGTGGTCCAATAGAACCAACCTGCCACCAGTTTGCTGATTGATTACCTGAGGAGGTGGTACCATATTGGAAACTCAGTATTGGTCTCTGCCTGCTGGTATACTGGGTATCAGCAGTGGCCATTGCCAGATCAGCCTTGGTGAGTGGGAGTCCATATTCCTGAGCCCATGCAAAACCTCCATCCCTGCCACTATGGCCACTCTGTTCATGAGCCCACTGGGCAATGACTGAAGAATGGCTGAAGAAAGTTGACCACTATCTACAGAACAGGTCATCTTATTCACTTGATTATTAAAGTCCTCTTTTTGCTGAGTGTTTTTTGGTGAGTGTTTACATGGAAAACAAATATTTTCATATCCTTTGCCTATATGGAGAAGTCTACCCATGTATTTCTTCCCCAGATATCTTTGTCACCAATTTTCCAATTATTTTCCTTCTAAATTCCTGACCAACTAGTGGGATCACTGGCTACAGCCTATGAGTCAGAATATAATCACACATTTGGCCATTTCTCCTCCCAGGCAAAATGTACCACCAGGTATGCTGCCCAAAGTTCTGTCCAATGTGAAAATTTTCCTTCACCACCGTCCTTCAGGGATGTCCTGGAAAGCGGCTGTAATGCTGCAGCTGTCCATTTGCAGGTGGTGCCCACATACGATGCAGAACCATCTGTAAACCAAGCCCTAGCCTCTCTTCCTGACAGCTGATCGAATGGTACACCCTGGCCACAGGTGCATGCTGAGCGGCAGAAGGCAGTATAGGAGCCCCGGACATCGGGGCAACTTCTTCATGTAATCTGCTTACACCTTCTTGATCTACTCTGGCTTGATCACATATGTAGCATCTCCATCTAATGACAGACTGCGCACAGCCAACCTCATGACTCGGTGGGTCAGCTAATACCCAGCTGCCGGGAGGCAACTCAGCTTATATGACAACTCAGTGTCCGTGGTGAGGTGTTTCCAAGGCCCAGAACCAGACCATTTAATCTGATTTTATTGGTACATTTTAGATACACATAATGATCATATTCATCATAATTTGTACCTGTATAGGATACAGGTACAAATTTCCCTCATTTCCCTACTCTCTTCTCAGCCTGCCCTCCGCTTCCTACTTACAAAAGCTTTGTTTCCATGTTTTGTTTTGTTTTCCTCTTTTCTTCCTTTCCCTCTCCCCTCTCCCTTACTCTCATCCCCTCTGGTATACCGGGCATCCGCAGTGGCCACAGTTCAGCCTTGGTGAGTGGGAGTCCATAATCCTGATCCCATGCATAACCATGTAGGAGTCTAGGAGCTGAACGCCCTTCTTTGTCAGGATCCTCCCAAAGGCCTCCCTCCCCCGCAGCTTACAGGGTCGCATTCTTTTCCCTTCAGTGCCCTCACCTTTATATAATGCCCTCTGAGGATAAGCATTAAATTTAGAATACAGTTCAGTCAATCATTGACGAGGGCCCGTGTTTGGATTCTCAATCTCAGGCCTGCCGCTAACGGATTTTCTTTCTGGACACACTTAGAAACTTAAATTTCTATCTGGGGCTGGGAATTTAAACCTTTGAGCTCCTTATTTCATTTTATTTGTCCTCAGAGTCAGATTTAAAATTTCCCATGGATGGGGCTGGGGGTTTAGCTCAGCGGCATAAGCGCCTGCCTTGAAAGCAGGCAGTCGTGAATTCGATCCCTGGTACCGATAAAAAGGAAAAAGACAAAAAAATAAATAAATAAATAAAAAATAAAATTTCCCATGGAAATTGTTTTCCTTCACTAGTTTGTCTGGAGATGCCAGTATCAGCCACCCACCATATTTCCCACTGTGCAAAAAATAATTCAAAACTTTCACATATGGAGTCACTAAGTTTCCTTTTTCTTTTCTGAAGAGTAGTAATATATGTATTGAGGGAAACAAAGCTTCTGTCTCAAGAGAGACAGAAGGGGTCCGAAGTGGGCTGCCCCTGAGTCACTAAGTTTCTTACATCTCACAAATTATTAACATACATGGATCTACACTGCATAGTACCCTAACAGTTCACACCAAGGACCATCAGTATTCTCCAAAGAATGAGATCATGGCATCTTTAGGTCTCATCTTTAGAGAGCTGACTCCAGGAACCTCTAAAGCCATTCAAGTATTTGAACTTTGTAATTCTGTTTCTCTAGCACCACTCTCCTTACGAAAATCTGTGTCAGTGTCTGCTAGAGAAACATACGAGATACGCAAATATATGTAAGAATGTACACAACTGGCGTCTGCTTACATGGAGACCAAAGAACCCTGCTGAAGGTCTGGGGCTCAGTGCAGTGCCCCATGCGCTGCTTCATCAGGAGGCAGAAGGATCTGCACTGGAGGCCAGGAGACTGTGTTGGAGGCGAAGGCAAAGACAAGCAGCTGTCCTTCGTTTCCCTTTTACCATGCAGGTGACAAGCCACTCCCAGCGGTGTGGAATTGATGAGCTAATTTAGTTGAGCTCTTACCTAAACTGACTCAGTCAACCATCACACTAGGCAAGAAAGCAGTAGACCTGGCACAGTAGGAGGAACTGTGCCAGAATAGGTAGAACAGAAATTAACAAAGTTTGCTATTTTGGTGTAAGCATGGGTCAACAGCAAACAACCTGACTTGACAGAATTTTACCTTTTATAACTGGAAAGTGTAGCTGTCATAATCCTCAAAGGCTACTTTTACTCCTACACTCCTAACAATCTGGAAAAGGTCTGAAACTTAGGTATTTAAAGCTTACACTCATGAAATGAAACACAAACTAACTAGAAGGTACTTTCCAAATGTTTCGACCAAACTCATATACACAGTGTAAATAAAGGAACATACTCTCACACATTTTAAAATTAAAAGACTTGTCCATAATCAAAACTTTATTGAAAAACTGCCATCAAAATAGGAGATCAATGCTGTGCACCTTACAAAATCAAACGTAATTACATATCTTGGTAGGTTCATTACAATTACTGAGCTTTTATGATAAGGCTTTCTGTGAAAAAACAAATTCAGAAGTTGTAAATCATTAGTGTTGCTTTCTTCTAAATGAGCAACCTGCAAAGGAATCACGACAGTACAGTAAACAAAAGTTTATTCCACCTTTGGTATAATTTTATGGTCAAAGTAACTTATGTAAAACAATTAAGTTTTAGGAATATCAGATTAATATTGATATGTAAACTATCCTTTTATAATACAGATTTGCCTATAATAAAAATCTATTATATCTCCGTATATTCCACTATGGCCATAACTGTCATTCTGGTTTCTCAAAAAAGATAAGGGATCTATTTTAAGACCAAGAGCCTGAATTCAAAACTTAAAAGTCTTCTTAGGATAGCTACAGCTTTGCCTTTGAACCATGTGTCACCAGATGTACACAAAATTCTAAGATCATGATGTGAAGTATTCTCCTAAGAAGAATATTATTTAATATGACATGCAGGGTTTGTACTCAGATCTTACTACCCATACCAAATAGATCCCAGACTCACTACGCAGCCACTTACAACTCTCCCAGTAAGAACACAGAATTTACAACTTCCCAAAATATCACAAGCAAATTTCAAATACCGTCATTGTAAATCTGCAAGTATTACTATGAAAAACTATATACACACATCATTATTTTTTCTTACTTTACTTCAAAGTGAAAGCAAATTTAAAATAAGATTTTTATACTAACCATTCAGCAGTTGTTCATATAAGTAAAACCCGTGGCATTTTTAATTTATACATTTTTTGTTCCTTAGCCGATAATGGTTTTTAAAAACCTGTCTAAAGTTCTATGTACCAAGAAAATATTTTAAATCCTATGGTGTTAAAAGTCTCTGTCCTACTAAATATAGTTACTCTTACTTTCATTCTAATTTACTTTTATTCCAAACAAAGTATGTGAACAACTACAAAAAAACCGGGCTTTACAAACATAAGAAAAAAAAAAAAAACAGGAAGAGATCTTTGCCTAAACTTATCCAGTAGAACTGGACACTCTTTACTTTAAAAGCCCACAAGGAAAAGTTTTCAAAATCTCATCTCTGGCTTAAATACCAAGTGACTGATATACCTTCTGTGAGTCTCGCCTTTCCTCCTGTAGGCTGGCATAAAACGGTTGAACAACCTACACAAAGAACCACTGTCTGGGCATGGCTGAAAACTGTGGTAATCTTGTAGCAACCTTAAAAAAAAAAGGAGAGGCAAATTAAAACTGAGAAGCAGATGAGATCGCAGCACCTGTTCCATGTATTTCTAGTGGTAAGTCATGTTTTACCTATTTTCTGTGAAGAATTAAGAACCCCAGTGCTGTCCAACAGCAAGCCATGTATGTAACATAAACCAGTCTAAAACCCAGCACATATGTTTTGTCTTTTTGAGACAGGGCTTCACTGTGCATTTCAGGCTGGCCTTGAGCTTATTTTGTAGCCCAGGCTGGCCTTGATCTCTCAGTGATTGTTGGCCTCGGCCTTCCAAGTGTTGGGATTACAAGCATATACCACACTCCACCTAGTACCCAGCTTTTTAAAAGGTGAAACAAATGCCTTATTGAACTTAATATTTCCCCAATATTACTATTTCAACACATAATTTAAGGTTCTTGGGCATCTTTTCTTTTGTTTCTGTGGTGCCTGTCCGAAGTCCAGTAAATGTTTTACTGTTAAAGATTCTCTCTCCACTTTGGCCACAATTCAAGAGTTAATGACCACCACGGTAAGCAGCAGAGCTTCAGGGTGAAGAATCAACAGAATTTTTCACTGCATCATGAAAAAGAAAACTCATCCTCTGAACAGCTTACTAAGTGAAACGCCATACACCGAATGCCCATCTCGCCCCCAACCCTTACGAGTATGTCATGAAACTACTATGGTTGTTAATGTCCCATGTGACATTCCAATTCTGTCATCTCACTTCTATTGAAGAGGATCCTCTGTATCTAACTGTACACACCAAAACAGCCGTCTCTATGCAAATTCCCTTTAGAAAAAGAATTAAGATTTGAAATTTTACCTGGACATTTTACATCCATAAAATAAGAATTTGGACTTTGAACTAGCCGTTTCTTTTTATGTTTCTTCTTTTCCTCTTCCAAGGAAGGGTGTAGTAAATCTCTGGCCAACTTTATTAAAAAAAAAAAAAAAAAGGCGTATTATTATTGCTGGAGTTAAAGCACAGTGCTGACAGGTTAAACCATACGAGAAATACACAGGCCAAACAGGACTAACAGTCATACTTGGTAGAGACAATACTTCAGATATCAAAGCTGTTTATTTTTTTAATCTGATGCTAACTTTCAATACTTTGTGCTTCCGAACGTCCTTGCAATAGGACTTCAGGACGATCCGGTCGCATATGGTAAAGCTAACCTCGTTCTTCTTCACTCAACTGAGTAACTGTCCTTAATAAAAACATCCGGCAAGATAAGTAAAACCCAAACACACTGGAGATCTTTGTGCCCACCCCTGCCCGGGGGATTCCTGGCCCTGGGGCTGCAGCTCTCTGCGGAAGAGAGGCTGAGCGGAGCCGCTCTGGACGCAATCAACATGCACAGCAGCTACAAAGCCAGTTTTCAAAGGCAACGAGCAGGACAGCGCTCCCCAGACACAGCAGAAGGGCGAGAACCGTCGCGCAAGAAGACCAAGAGGACCCCAACCCCGGGGCCCGGCCGGCGCCCCAGCAGTCCCGACAGCAGCGCCGCGCGGGTGGGGCCGGGACCGGGGCCGGGGCCGAACAGGATCTACTGCCTCGCTAGGGTATACCTCGCTAGGCCGGGCAGCGCGCGCTGCGGGCCGGGGCCGCGCGCCCGGCTGCCCCCATGACCCCCCACCGGCAGAAGGCCGGAGACAAACCCGAGCCCGAAGTACACAACTCACAGGCATGGTGATCCTCGCCAGCCGGCAGGGCAGCTAAGACTGCAGACGCCAGCCGCGAGGCGCACGCGCTCGGCCGCTCGGCACAACTTCCGGGATAGAGGCGGCAGGGCCAGGGCTGCGCGGCGGGGCGGGGCGGCCGCTCTAGGCGCTGCTCTCGGTGGTGGGTCGGTGGATCCCGCCGAAGGGCTAGCTGGAGGGAGCAGGAGGTACCGGCTACAGGACGCTGGCTTCACCCCCACCGGCAGCGCCTCGGTTGGCTCGGCAGCTCAGTTCACGGCCCTGAGTTCTTTTGCGGTGGGCACATAGGGCGGCGCGATTGTCCCTGCGAGCCTGTAATCACGGCACTGCGGGGGAGACCGGAGCAGGAAGGTCGCGGGTTCGAGCCCAGCCTGGGAAGCTCAGAGACGTAGCGAGACAATGTTTATTTAAAAAAAAAAAAAATTGGGAATCAGTGCGAAGGCTCTGGTTCAATCCCTAGCACGTGAAGTGAAGGAATGATTAACTATTAATGGGAAAAAGAAAGTTGGTGAAGTAGATTAGGGTTAGGTTTGGGTTTGCTTTCTGAGGCTCCTCCCTCCCCTCCGAGGGACAACTTGGAAGAGCGACAGCCGGACAGGAGCTGGCTTTAGCGTGAGAGACAGGCTTGAAGGGCGGGAGCCTGGGCGACGGAAAGATGAGCAACCCGAGACGCTCGCTTGGAAATAGCCCCAGCCCGACGCCCCTCCTGGCCTCTTCCCACCTTCCACCCATCTGCCAGACGTTCGTGTCTCTTCTGCTATCTCCCCCTACTTCGGCATTTACGGTTCTTGCCCTGATTTTTGACATTAATGCCACAGCAAACAGTCCTGTGCACAAGTTTTTGTGTAGCTCTTTGATTGTTTGCTTAAATTCCTAGAAGAGGAACCGGTGAGTTAAAAGTTTTGCATATTTTAAGGTTTAAAAAATCAGTAGCCAAAGTACCCTCCGAAAAGGCAAACCGATTTTTTTGTTGCACCCTTGTCAGTAATGAGTATTGTGTTTTTGCCTGCCCCACTCAGTCCAAAAGAACTGCGGAGTGTTTTGTCTTATTGCATTGTTGTCTGAATTAATGTTCCTTGTATGCCAATGCTGTCAGACTTTTCTGTTGGGATGGTCATTTAGTTCATCTTTATTTGTCCTTCTATTCTAGGGATGTTAACCAGAAGTTATATATGGTGCAAATTTTGCCCCCACTTGTTTCCTGTTAAGTTTAGTTGTTGGTGATTTTTAAAATCATTCTAGCCCAGCGTGGTGGCACTTGTCTGTAATCCCAGCACTTGGGAGGCTGAGGCAGCAGGACTGTTGAGTTCGAGGCCAGGCTGGGCTGCAAAGGGAGTTTGAGACCAAGGCCAGCCTGAACTGTGTAGTGAAACGCTGCCCGCTCCCCAAAAATCATTGTAACTTTTTCATATTATCTATCCACACATCTTTCAGACCTATTAATTTGTCTTTTCCTCTATTGTGTTTAGGCAGGTCTGGGCAATTTAGGATCAACCCAATATAATGCTTTCTTCTCTCTCTCTTTTTTTTGTACCAGGGATCAAACTCATAACTTCCTGCTTGCAAGGCAGGTGCTTATGCCACTGAGCTAAATCCTTGACCCTCATTGTCATACTTACTTCTTTTACTCCCCCCTCTCCCCACACACCAATACTGGGAATTGAACTCATGACCTTGCACTCACCAGGCAGACACTTTTGTCACTGAGCTAAATCCCTTTCCCTTCTTTTACATTTTAAATAACCAGGAATTTATTTTTGGTACTGTGTAGGTTTCATGACAAGTTCTAATGATCAAAACTAGTTGTGGCTTCAATTCTTTAAACAATGCCCAGTGAAGGGCAAAACCCCCTTTACTTTCTGGGACTCTTAGGCATCCTGAGAAATAAAAAGCTCACAGTCAAGAAGACTTAGATGCACTCTTTTTTTTTTTTTTTTAGACAGTGTCTTGCTGTTTAGGTTGGCCTTGAGCTCACTATGTAACCCTAGTTGGCCTTAACTTGCAGTGATCCTCCAGCCTCTGCCTCCTCAGAGGTGGAATTGCAGGCATGCACCACCATGCCCAGCTCTAGACTCCAGTCACCACGTAACTTTGTCTTTTCTTCTTTGAAAGCTCAATTTCTCCCAGTTCATCCCCAGGCTACTGCACTGATGGCAATATTAGGGGCCTATGGGCAGAGTCCAGAGCCTTGGTAGCTTGCTGTCCCAGGTCCTGCAGAAGGAGTGCCCCCTCCCTCCCCAAAGTGCCTAGCTGGAGCTGTGGCCACTCTCCTGAGAACTCCCCAACTGTCCATCTGCTGGGCCTGGGAAGGTGCCACCCACATCTCCCAGTGTGCACTCAGCTCCCTCCACCTCCCCAGTCACCTGCACAGCACCTGTGTGCCCTCCTGCCCTGAGGAGCTGCAGACCCTGGGAAAATGCACAGATGTCCACACAGGTTAGGTTGGGGCCCCAAAGAGCTGCTCTAGATATGTCAGATCCCCGCCTTTCCCCAAATAGAAGTTTCCAAAATGAGGCTCAGTGGTTTAGTCTTATTTTCACAAAAGTAGAAGTGTGAGTGGAGTGGGGTACCTTTCCACCCCATTCTTCAGGTTTTTCTGAGAAGCTCAGAAACACATGTTGCCAGCATGTGTGGGGCTAAAGTAAGGCCAGCCCAGAAAAAACACAGAGACCAAAACAAGCTATGTAAACAAGCTGTTCCAGCCCAAGAAGGCAAGGGGCCAGGCCTGCCAGGCGATGGGCTCCTAGGCAGAGGGGCTGAAATTGACATCATCTTTCCCAGCATATAAACAAAGGTGCTACAGTGGCTGAGCAGTTCCTTTCCTCCCATCAGGAGGATAAGGGCTCCACCTGACCCCAGCTTTGTCTTTTCGTTACTTTTTTCATCCTCTCAGGGGCCACACTGGGTCGCGGCATATGGCACCAAAACACAGACAGGGTGAGAGATGCGAGGGGACACTTCTCATGTGCGCACACGTAGGGGGAGAAGTGCATTGGTGTAGGTCAATAGTCATCACTGGAGTGTATTGATATCGGCTTCATCAGGTGTAAAGAGTGGGGCATTCAAACTCCTTTATTCTCTAGGCCCAGTTATAAATGGGCCTGAGGGAAGCCTCTACCCCTTAAAAGAAAAAAGAAAAAGAAAAGAGGTATATTGGTTATATCAGCTGTGTAACTATGGGACAGACTTATCCAAAAGAATCACAAATGTATAAGGACCTGTTTGCTGTATGTTTGATTCTAGTATTTACATTCCTTCTGTGGATCTGGATGAAACAGGGTTTTAATAATTTTAAGCTTCTTGAGACAACTATAAGGGAACTGGCTCCAGGCACTGCTTCAGAATCAATTCCCGAGCAGGGAAAAGGTGGCAGCATGACCACCCCCATCCTGATAACCTTAACAGAGCCACTAACTGTCCATTCAGCAAAAGCTTCAACTGTCTGTCCAAAGTGTAGAGGACGGTATCACTAGGCCACCGGATGGAAATCCAAAACTTCCAGTGGGGCCTATGGCAGCCCTGCCAAAGAGTAGGGGTGTGACAGCTTTGATGGCTCCCTGAGATGGCCTTGCCCTGGCAGGCTCCTAGTGGTTGGTGGGTAACGTGGTCCTGATTCATGGTTTGCTGATTTCTGTTTACAAAATGCTCTTACGAAAGACAATTTCAAATAACCAACAGGACAACAACTAACCTTTAAAACTTCTAAAAATTCAACATTTGGCTTTCACAGCTGATGATAGATAGGCTGGTTCCAGCATATCAGTCTCACTACGGCTTTGCAGTGGGTTTTGATATCTGGTAGTGTAAATTCTCAAACTCCATTGTTTTGCAAAATTGTTTACTGCAGGGGTACTTGTTTCAAATTCTCCATTAATGTAACTACATTTATTTAGGTCCTTTCTGCTTTCTTAAGTCAGTTTTAGTTTTCAATACACAGACACCATGCAGCTTGCTAAATTTCTTGAGTTTGTCTCCAGAAGAAGAAATTGTAAATTTACATACTTAGGAGGAAACTGAAAAACAGCTTAGAACAAGACTAGGGAGAAAACAAACCAACAGCAATCAGCTGGGCCTCTTCAGATTTCTGCTCCTCTCACTGTTTCTCACAGGCCCCAGGCAGGGGAGGGTACCAAAGCCTCCACATGGGTTTGGCCCAGACATCAAGGTAAAGAAATAATGTTGCTTATTTCAGCTGTAAGGAGAAATCAGGGTTATGGTTCAATCTCCTGAAAACACAGTTCCCTGGATTATTATATTACTCAGTTGTATTCTTCCCTTGACAAAAATTGGAAAATCTACAAATAAAAAAAGGGCACCTAAGGATTTTGGATCTTCTGGTACTTATTAGAGAAGTGAGACACAGCTCTGGCCTGCCAAAGCACCCTGGCTTTTCCTATCACCTGTGCACATGCTTTATGCATCAAAAGTTTACACTGCACTGGTGCTCAGATCCCCAGCAACAGGAGGGCCTCCAGCCCAGAGCACAGCACCACCTGCATGTCACAGGAAACCCCAAGATACCTAAATACAAAATGCAGTTTACATTTTCTTTATACCTTACTGCAAAAATTCTTTATAATCTTCAGGTCTAAAAGTAAGTTAAATGTGCTCACAATTTAAATTTCAAAGAAACAAAAGGAGAGTTCACCTCATAATAGATTTCAGTTGGCAGTATATACCATTTAAAATCTTTAAATTCTAATACAGATGTAACTACCTCAGCAGATAGATAATGTAATCAAATAAATCAAATCTAAAATGACTCCGTTGGAATGATCTACGTACTGGACAATAAAAGCACCCAGTCCAGTGCTAATGTGGGGTTGAGGGTATGCTTGTGTTTTTCCGGGAAAAGCTAAATGACCTCTCTGGGTGCCAGTGTGTGCTGTCTGGCTGTGTCATGGGCCCAAACCCAGGAAAGAAGTTGATTCCACCGCTCAAGAAGCTGATGCTCAGTCCTATGATGTCTTGGAGACCACGCCACAACCCATAGAAAAAGGTGACCTAGCACCAACCTTAATTGACCAGATGCCCAGGAGATGGTAACCAAAAATAAAAAGGTCCAAATAGATGACAGAAGTGCATGCTAAGTCCTATGATAAAAATATGTTAATTATAGGTAAGATTTTGTCTTTTTTCAAATTCTTTGATAAGAGATCTCTGCTAATTGACCTACAATAAATGTGACTGGTCTATTTAAAGTTACAAATTCTACAATTGTAAAAATTTTGTGTAATTCAATTTGGCTAAAATATATTTGAGTACACGCTGATTGTGAAAGATGTTTGTAAGTCTGTCTGTATATCTGCTTGTCTGTTTGTCCAGTCTGTTTAGCTGTAGCTGGAAGTCGCTGAGCTAGTGATCGCTCACACACGTGGAGCCAATAGCACAAGTGCCTGTACAGGAGTGTCCAAGAGGCCTGAGGTGCCTGAGAAACACCCTGAGGACAGGGGGTGCTGGAGGTGACAGGTGTTTGAACCCTGAGGTACGGGGTATAAGAAGCGAGCTAGTTCAGCAAAGGGATGTGAAATAGCCCCAGGACCTTAGAGAGTTCTTGTGGACACTGACAACTCTGTGTTTGTTTCTATATTCGTTTGAATCTGTACTGATTGTCTGTCCGTTTGTCTGTTTGTGAACAGCTGTTCTTTCTATTTTGAGCTCAACAGTTTTTCTCTTTTTTCCTGTTTCTTTTGCATTTTGGGTCATTTGATCAAGGTTTATTTGAGTTATAGAATTACAAAACATGTTTCCACCTGGTCCAAATGCCACCTGGTTTGCCGGCTGGTCCAACTGATGCAAACTGGTTATGTAAATGTAGTATATGTCATTGTTTGCTGTTTACTTGAACTTCTTATTTAAAAAATTAATGGGCTAAATGTTGTAATTGGATTTTTCATAAGTCATCAAAAATTATATTAAGATAATTAAACAACAATCTCTTGAGGAGCCGAGCATGATGGTTCATGTGTATAATAACTCAGGAGGCTGAGGGAGAAGGATAGTTTTGAGTTCAAGACCTGGGCTATAAAGTGAGCTCAAGGCCAGCCTGAACTGCATAGAGAGATCCTGTCTCAAAAAAGACCAAAACAAACAAACAAACAAACAAAAAACAAAACAAACAAAAAACCCTTATGGTTTGGATTGTTGGGCAAGACTTAAACTAATGAATAAGAAAGTGACCACCTGGTAACATTTTACCAGCTCTTGTTCATTGATTGGAGGCCCTGATGATCTCCATAGCCTTATGGGAGACATCCCCAACTAAAGTTATAAAAATATTTTATATAATAATATATTCACATTGATCATCATTAAATAATACAAAAGGTTTTTTATTTTAAAAGTGCCCATACAAAGGTTTCCATATGGTTGTGACAAATGATTGTTAACCTCATGGTGTATTCGTATATTCATGCCTCAGATGTAGAGGTCTTTGAAAATGTAAAAACAGGTTGTTTATGGTGACAAACTTTTGTTTCAGATTCAGACCTCTAACAAATGCTTATGAGATGTACATCCTACTAAAGGTCAACAAGTTAGATAAAGGCTTTTATGTATTAGATAGGGATGATTGACCAGAAAGGGGATAACTTCTGTTTAAAAAAATTCAATTTAGGTGTATTAAAAAAATGTCATCATGATTTTCATGTTATAACATCAGGTATGTTTTGATTTCTAGTTTTCTATATAAAATATGTAATTGTTAACATCCTACAGGTATTCAAAGGTACAGATATTTTAACAGCATCCATGGTTGTTCAAAAATAATGGTCCTATTTTATGTTGTAAGATGTTTGATATTTAGATAAGATAGTAATGCCTCTAACTACATTGTACTGTTATCAGTCTTTTCTTCTGTACGTTCAACAATTGAAGATTGGAGACCAACAATTAGAGAGACAGATGGGCTAAGAGGACAGCCAATATTTTGGCCCTAGCCCTCCAAGGTCAGTGAGGACCCAGGACATAAGGGAACCTCTGCTGTGTCATCCTTTACACAGTGAGTCTCCCTGGTCTTCTGATCAAGAAGACTGTATGACCACTATGGAATGTGATCATTGGTGTGTGGTGTGCCTAAGGAGAGTCACTAGGAGCAAACATCTCCCAAGCTTTCACAAAAAGCAACTTGGTCACCCAATGGCTGTGACTCATCCAAACAGCTGACACTGACAGAAGAACTAAGAGTTGCCATAGCTGGTTCCTAGGTTCCTGAGGAGACTTAACTGACCTTGATAGATAACAAAAATGGATTGTGTTTAAACAGGTCTCACCTTAACTTGGTGTTGAACATCCTGCAGAAAATGTACAACTACTAGAGGTATATAATACAATGCTAAAGTAATACGTTGTAAAAGAAACTCAAATCACTACTACCTTTAGGCAATTGCCAGCTACACTGGTAGCTGACTACTGTCACAGATTAATGGAATGCACAGGATTTCAATTGCAGAATGCAGGGACTTAAAATCTTTGGACTTCACTTAAAGTAAAAAGATCTACAGAGCTCTCCAACACAGCTCCTCCAGCTTCAACTGACCGCCTGTCCTGTGCAACAACAAAACAAAAAAGAGGGATCTGTAGGGAGCCGTAGAAGCTGGAGATTGACCACATGTGTGGGGCTAAAGCAAGGTCAGCCCAGAAAAAACACAGAGACTAAAAAAAGCTACGTAAACAGGTTATTCCAGCACCAAGAAGGTAGGAGGCCCAGGCCTGCCAAGCAATGGGCTGCTGGCAGAGGGGCTGAAATCGACATCATCTTTCCCAGTGTATAAATAAAGGTGCTACAGTGGTTGAGCAGTTCCTTTCCTCCCATCAGGAGGATAAGGGCTCCACCTGACCCCAGCTTTATGTCTTTATTTTTCTCATCCTCTCACTGGTCCTTAACCCCCAGAACCTCAGCAGTTGCACTGGGTCATGGCAAGGCTGTGTTCATTTCTCTTCCTTCTCCTGTTTGCCTGTTAGTGGGTTTCAAGGTGCCCGGGGCTGTTTTCTTCATATTCCTAATATTGACAGCAACTTTTTTTTTTTTTTTGAAAACAGATCTCACTACTGTGAGGTTCAGGTTAGCACTGAACTCACTGTGTAGGCATATAGCCTCGAGCTTGCACCGATCCTTCTGCCTCAGCCTCCCGAATGCTGGGATTACAGGTGTGTAGCACCATGCCTGATTCAGGAGCAACTTCTGAAAGGTTGCCTTTCTTCTGCATGGCAACCCTCCAGTAGGAGAATTGTCCCCAAAGCACCAAAATAAGGAGTATAATCCATCTGTCATTTATGGGATGCCTGATACGCTCAAACTCCTGTTGCTAACAGGTTAGACTCAGATCCAAACTGTGGTTTTGTTTTGTCTTTGTCCCCTCAAGCACTGAGGACTGAACTCAGGGCCTTTATGCTGATCTGTATCCCCAATCTTTTTTTTATTTTGAGACAATCTCACTAAATTGCCCTGTGTAGCAGATCCTCCTGACTCAGCAGTCTAGAGTGCTGGGATTACCTGTATGAGCCACTGTGTCCAACTCATGGTTTGTATTTTCTCTATCAACTTAATAATTCCCAACTCATGTTGAGGATCCATGCAGCCAGGCCAGCGAGTCATCTCTCCTCGTTGTAGGGAATCGTGCTATGCATGCATCAGTCTCCAGATCCGCTCTCCATCTTCCATGCAGCTCTGGGCCCAAGGGCTGAGCAGTGGCTGCACTGTGTTCCTGTGCTGGCCTGGCTCTAGTTGGGTTGGATTCGTGGAGGCATCAATAGAAATCAGGGTCAGAGCAAAGCAGTGTAGGGGTATTTATTCCCAGATGCATCCCTGATGGGACATTTTCTCGAGTGACTATTTCTCTGGTGGGGACAGTGGCTTCAGGGGTCCCTTTTGTGGGCTCCCATCATGGCTCCCTCCCCGCTTTCTTCCTTCCTCCTGAGTGAGGGCTGACGCCTCGCCATCCTTTGCCATCTTCGTTAACTCTGACCCAGCTGTGTGAATACCTTTCTCATGAAGCTCTCTTCCGTCTTCCCTTTGAGTGGGCCATCTGTGATCTGCCAGGACTCTGATGTAGGAACCCTCACTAGGATGAACTCTTCTCAAACCCCAGAAGGTTTTGCAGAGGGGAGTCCATGTGCTTCTCAGCTTACCACAGGAATGGCCATTGACCCTGCCTGTGGGACCCTTCGAGTTCAACAGGGTATGGTTCCTCCTGTCCTATGCTTGAAAAGCACAGGATAATACTACAGAGACGACAGTCAGCTTCACCAGGTAGCTCCATACCACCTTGTACACCAGCGGTAACTTCACAGTAAAAACAAGGCTGTTAGGCACCATTCCTGGTCAGCTAAGTCTGAAGCTAGGTTTTCACAAGATGCATGTAAACATCCCAGTGTGAACCATTCTGGCCAAGAGGTGCCACATCCTTTTTTGAGTGTAGTGGCGGGATCCAAACCCAGAGCTTCACATGCGCTATGCACATGCTCCACTGCTGAGCTGCACCCCCAACACTACGTGGTGGAGTCTTCCTCCATTCCCAGTGAGGCGTCCAGAAACCAGAATCCAGTTCCTGCTGCTTGGAGGGAAGAACTCAGGGCTGTTTTTCTAGATCCAAGCAGAGAAACACCCCTCCTTCCCTGCTGCTTCCAGACAGCTTGCTCATTCCAGCCAATCGTGTTCTCCTTTTCCACCCTACCCAGGAACCCCTTAAATCAGCTATGCTTAAACTTGGCCCCTGTTAGAATCACCAAAGAAGAAACCCAGGCCAATCCCTGGAGGAGGAATGCTGGTGACAGTAGTTTTTAAAACTTCTCTGGTGATTTTCATGAGTAGCCAAGAGAACCACTGCTCTAAGTTCTCCTGGAAGGCTTGGTAAAAACAGGTTCCTGTTGCTTGCACAGTGAAAGCGCTCTGCTCCTTCTCACCCCAAGAAGGCGCTCCCCTGATGCCAGAATCTTGATATTGGACTTCAAGCCTCCAGAAATGGGCGAAGTCAGAGTGTATTAGCCAGGTGAGATTGCCCAGCACCTGTCCTGCCTGCCTGCCTGCCTTTCCTCAGTCCTCATGCTATTCCCCCTGTCCGGCTACCTGAGAACAGGTCCTACCGAGACAAGGTGTTCTCTCACACTGCATTGTAACTTGGCAGCACGCAGTGCAGAGGTTTGGTGAGGATTCTGAGGCCAGCATGCATTTGTGCAAATGTGATTGCTCCCTTTCTGAACTCTCATTGCTTGCATTAGTCACTAAATATCCACTGCTTGTGTGGGCTTTTGTCTTTATGCATTTGACTGGTATTTCACTTTCCCTGTGTTTATCTTATCTCTTCCTTAAAAGTCCACAGGGTGTGTGTGTGTGCGTACGTGCGCATGTGGGTGTGGGTGTAGTACTAGGAATTGAATCCAGCATCTTACACATGCTAGGCAAGGGTTCCACCACTAAGCTGAGTCCCCACTCCTTAATTTGAAGAAGTTCTCACTAAGCTGCCCACGCTGGCCCCAGACTTGTGCTCCTCCTACCTCAGATATAGGAGTAGCTGAGACTGCACGTGAGCACCTTCACACCAGGCCCACAGGCTTAGTGAAGATCAGGATTTGGTCTCATCCCCCCAGATGCCCAGTACTGATCATTTTAGGGATGTAGTGACCATACACCACTTTCCATGCACCTGACTTCGTGGGTGTTCTTTGAAGACTATTCTGTCTGGTTTATCTAGACTCTCTTCTAGTCACAACTTTACTGGTCTTTCTAGGTGCATGCCTTTGATCGTGCCTCTGTCTCAATCCTGCGTAAGGAAAAGCCCAAAGACCACTGAATTCTGCCTAAGCCCAGATTAACTTGTTTCTAAAACTGGGAAGATAATTTGAGGTCATTTTAGGGTTAATGAAACATTGTAGTAAGTTGTGCCTCTTTTTCCTTGGGAAAGTGTTTACAGGGAAAATAAATGAAATGCTTTCTATTTTTCCAGGAGATAAAAGCTGATTAAAAGGCTGGTGGTTAAAAGGCTCAAAGTATTTAGAAGAATAGAGTTCTATTTATCCACATTGAAAAACTTACTCAACTATTTATGGAATGTCTGCTATATACAAAGTAGTAGGCCATGTAAACCGTCTGTGTTAGGAGCACAGAAATTTTAACAGTCACTTAACTTAAGTTGTTTCTATTTCTATAAAAAAGAAAATGTTTCTATTAGAAAAATCAGACCACCGAAATTCAAATACACAATCCAAAAATGGGCATCCTAGATGAATACACAGTTTTCAGATGAAGAAATACAAATGGCAAATAAATACATGAAAAAATGTTCATTATAATTACTCATTAGAGAAATGCAAATTAAAACCACACTGAGATTCCATCTCACTCCAGAAAGAATGGCCAGGATCAAGAAAACTATCAACAACAAATGCTGGAGAGGCTGTGGGGAAAAAGGAACTCTTCTGCACTGTTGGTGAGAGTGTAGACTGATGCAACCACTTTGGAGATCAGTCTGGAGATTCTGCAAAAAGCTGGGATTGAAAGTCCCATTTGACCCAGCTATTCCACTTCTAGACATATTCCCAGAAGAAATGAAAGCATCATACCACAGTGATATAAGTGCACCCATGTTTATAGCAGCAAAATTTGTAATAGCCAGATCTTGGAAACAACCTAAGTGTCCATCAACTGAGGAATGGATAAAAAGTTGTGGTATTTTTATATAATGGAGTACTACTCAGCTATAAAGAATGATCACATTGAGATATTTATAAATAAATGGACACAACTTGAGACCTTACTCATAAGAGAAATAAATTGGGGCTAAGGATTTAGCTCAACAGCATAAGCGCCTGCTTGGCAAGGACAAGGTCATGAGTTTAATTCCTGGTTCTATCAAAAAGAAAAAAAAAAATAAACTCACATGTGTAAATACCATATCGCCTCTGTATTAGTTGTTTTTTACTCATTGCTGAGACAAAATACCTGATGCCCAAAGTTGGGAAAGGAAAGGTTTATTTCTTATAGTTTTTGGAGATTTTAGTCTATACTCAGTTGGCTCCAAGGCAGGGTGGCATGGCTGGGCCACAGTTTAGGGTGGCTGCAAATAGCAAGGCAAAATTGGCAAGAGAACAAGACATGCCTTCTTCCTGCCATAACATTGTATGCTGGCTCCACCCCTAGGTGGGTGTAGTACTGATATCACCAATCCAAGCACTAGACAATGAACCAACCACAAATGCACAATGCAAATGCATGGATGTACATGAGTCCTGGGGGCCAGGAGTGGAATGTCATGGTTTATGTTTGTGGCCCCCAGAACTCATGAGTTTGCATTGTTCATTTGTGATGGTTCATTGTATAGTGCTTGGATAGATGGTGTCAGTGCTCCACCCACATAGGGGTGGAGCCAGGATGTGATGTAATGGCAGGAAGAAGGTGTGCCTTTCTCTTTGCTGGTTTGAGTTTGCTGTTGCCGGCTGCCATGAACTGCAGCCCAGCCATGCCTGCCTGTCTTGGAGCCAACTGAGTGTGGACTGAAACCTCCAAAAACTGTAAGAAATAAACCTTTCTTTTCCCAACTTGGGCATCAGGTATTTTGTCTCAGCGACGAGTAAAAAGTAACTAAGACAAGTACCAAGCATCCCGGGGATAGCTCTTGGATGTCCCTGCTAAAGTCACTTGTTAAAACAAGTGAGATCTAGAGCATCCAGTCAGATTCTGCCAACGAGGCTCAGGGATCTGGCCTCCAGCTGTGTGTATGTGTGTGCACATGAGTGTGTAATGCATCACTTTGATTGAGGTTCAAGGCTCGAAGATAATAAGTGTGGCTGTCATACTCCCAACTTGCTATTTTCACTCAACTCTTCAAAGCGGAAAGAAAGAGGGTGCTTGGCAACTACCATAGTCAGAGCTTATCCCACCACCTCCTGCCTTCAGCACCAACAGCTCCCTGTATGTGTTATCTTACCCAGAGACTGGGTGAGAGACAGCCATGGGACACAGACTTGGAAAGGGCAAGGCCCCCTGAGAATCTCAAGCTCAGGCTAGGAAGGTCGCAGAGCCTGCACTTGCACTGAGAGGCCTGCAGTGGGGGCTGGATCTGAAGGCCATGGCACTGATGAGCTCACATCCAGCAGACACTGGTTAACTGTAATTCAATATCTGGACTATCTCTGCTAAAACTATAGGTTTGTCTACTAAGGTTATAGACTCCTTGCTCTGGTTAAGGCTGGTAGATGAGTTGTTCTTTGGGTCTGTCAGTATTTACATATGATGCTACTCACGTGGCTGAATTTACAGTATACCCAAGGTGACATAGTTGTTAGTGTCCGTTGGCTTCCCCTGTATGGCAATGTCTGGACTGCCGGAAGCTCATAAACAATACTGTGGCCTGTTCCCAAAGAAATGGTACTGAGCCAAATAAGCTGCAAGATTGCCTCCCAGGTGAGTCCTGGGGAAGATGCAAAGGCCAATGGTCAGCCATGCTCAGAAGGCACCTCTGCAACAAAGCTACCTGCTATAATCAGCTGGCACTGCAGGGCAGAAGACAAACAAACCGGAGAAGCGTTAGAAGGCAGGTAATAAAATGTCTCCAAAAACTGGATATAAGGTGGGGATCAAAGGATGGGGAGAGACACAGCAAGTCGGGAGATCTTTTTCAAATGGGAAGGGGAACAAAAGATGGAGGGAAGGTGTAGGGAGAGGAGAGGGGATAGAAATAAAAAAACTGAAGGGGAAAATGATGAAAACTGATCTTGTGCAAATGGAAAGGGGACCAAGAGCTGGAAAGAGTAGGGAGTGGTGGAGGTTTAGGGGTTAGTAAAGGAAAGAATTCAGATTATTACATACATGTACAAACTCGCCACAATAAATGTAATCATTATCCTGCAAACATGTAGTAATGAAAAATATTATTGTATGAGGCAGGTATTGTGATCCCAAATATCAAGTTCAGTCATCCAGGTATTGTAATCCTATTTCTAGTTCTCCTCATGATGATAGTGGGCTTTCCTAAAGAAACATACATGGCCCAGAAGGCAGCTGAGGGAGTCTAATGGTCACCAACATATTTTCCTCTAAGCATTTCATGCAACCAAAGCTAGTTAACTAAACTAAATTCCAAGTTTCTCTTACATGACAGTTACATAGCATTGGCTCTAAATATTATTTTCTATACAGACACACATCCACAACTGAGGAGATGCCTGAATTATTATCAGTTTATGGCCCGCTAGTAAGCATAGGGCCAATTCTGCAGTCTTTGCGTAGCAGACCCTCAGGCCGTGGTTCATGGTAAGTGGAACAGACTAAGGACACATGTTGTGTGCAGAGAGGGAGCATTTTCTAATTTTTGAAACGTAGCTATTCCTACCACAGCCATTTCCAACTTCTAAGGTGAAGTTGCTTTGTAGGGAATTGGAATGGGATGAATGGAATCTCCGGGTCTGGTCATGGTGGTCTGGTCCATATTGACACTCTGGGCTCCTTTTCTCTAGCCTGTCATGCAAAAGCAGGGAAGAGGGTAGCCACCCAGGGCAGCTCAGTGGTAAAAGGCTTGCCTTACCTGCATGCGGCTCTCTGATTCCCAGCACCACAAAGAAGTGAGGGCAGGGAGAAAAAATAAGAAATGAGAGACAGGGGCTGGGGATCCTGCTCAGCAGTACAGCACTTGTGTCACAAGCATGAGATTCTGAGTTCGAATCCAAGTACAAGAAAAAGAAAAGAAAAGGAAAAGCTGTGATGGTAAAAAATGAGAGAAAGACTGGAGGACTCTGTTTCATATGTGCCACATCCCTGTAATCCCAGAATTTGGGAGGCTGAGGCAGGAGTTTAAGGCCAGCCTGGGATACACAGTAAAGACCCTACATCAAAAAAATTTTAAAAAGAATAAAATATTATCTTAATCTACAAACAGGACGATTGCTCAGAAAGAAAGAATAGACCTATTTGATGGCTTTACCTGCCTCCCACAAGGTAGACTGACAGCTCGGTAAATGATTCATTAATCCTATGGTAAATACAGAATTTCAGGTTAGGAAGACGCAGTCCACTCCAATTTTAGACAGCTAGACGGCTTTAGTTATTCCTTCTACTATTCAAGACCTGCTTGCTCAAATCCAGTTCAGATACTGTGGCTCTGGCCTAGGGAGGGAACACAGAAGCACCTCTCATTTGTTTCCTAAACGAGAGCCCCAGAGCCAGTGGAAGAAAGCCTTTCATCCCCGCTTAAGCTTGGTTTCTCCAGGATGAGAATCACTGGCTCCTGCAAGCAGCATTTGCAGTTTCTTATTTCTCTGGATATGGTTGCTTTTGCCCACGTGGCTCTAAAAATAAGCCTAAGTCCTTGGCCAGCTCAGAATAATGAAGCAATGGCCTGGCCGTTCCAGTCATCACATCTGTGTCAGTGCAGCTCAACTTCACATCAGATTTTTATGCCAATACAATTGCATCACACTATTGATTTACATCAGTTTAGAGCTGCCCAGAATGATAAGTCTTTTAGCTGTTACTAAACCTCAAATCCTTCATCTGTAATTGCAGTTTTAAGAACTCTAACTGCAGTGAACATACTAAATAACTTCAAACTGTACCTTTCAGTTGGGTAATTGTGTGGTGTGTGAATCATTTCTCAGTAAAGCCGTTAAAAAAATCTAAGTGCAGAAAAGGAAGGTGTATTTAATTAAATACCCACTAAACTTTGCCAGGCACTTAATCTTGTATAAACTTTCCAATAATCCTTTTGCGTTCTAAAGAAATTAAGAAACTTGTCCAAGTGGAATAATAAAGATTTGAACCTAGGGTGGCTCCAAGCGCTCATGCCATCTTACGGAGCTAGGCATTGTGCTCAGTGCTTAGCTGAGGTCAGTGGCAAACAGAACCATGGGGCCACGTGGACCCTAGGAACAGCGGCCAATGATCTGGTAGCTTAGAGAGAGCCGTCAAGCTTAGAGAATCTAGCAAGTAGTAAAAGCAGATGTCCCATCAGTAACCCTAAGTAAGCAATTACCTTTTTTTTTTTTTTTTTGGTCTTTTTTTGAGACAGGGTCATGCTGTGCAGTTCAGGCTGGACAGGCTGGACTTGAGCTCACTTTGTAGCCCAGGCTGGTCTCGAACTTGCAATGATCCTCCGGCCTCAGCCTCCTGAGTGCTGGGATTACAGGTGTGCACCATCACACCCGCCTCGTGGTAGACACTTTGGAGTCAGGCTGAGATGCATGAATTCTCTCTCCAGCGCATCTGGAATTGGAACACAGGTCTCTGGTCAGTCACAAATGGCCCTTGGAAGTAGGACAGCACTAAGAGGGGCTGGCATGGCCATATTCATTATGAGCCCTGAGAGGCAGACTAAACTGGGCTGTGGAGAGGAGACAGAAGCAGCGTCAGGAAAAAGGAGGGAGGAGAAACTAGGTTGTCCCCAGAGAAAAGCAGAGACAGCAAGAACATAGTTGTTTCCATCCCGGTGGCCTCTCGGGCTTTGGTTTCCTTCCCTGTGGGGCCCAGCTGCCCTTCCTATCCTGGCCAATGTGAGATGTCTGTCACTGGAAACCTGAGAAGCCGGGCTAAGTGACGGGGCTGGCAGGGGGAGTGGCCAAGCCCGGGATCCGGGTGGCACAGAAGGGGCTGCCTGTGACTGCCCATCGTGGGGGTCTCAGCACACCGGCCTGGTGGTTAGGTGAGATGCCACAGAGGTGTGACTGTCCCCTGGCCGTTTGTGTTCTCCTAGCTACTTCCCGGTGTATGTTCCTGTGTAGTAGGGAAATGGATAGCATTGCTGATGGCTCACCTAGAATTCTGTCTAACCCGGGATGTTTCTACAGGGTACGTGTATCTATCGCCATCACTGCTCATGCAGGTTGCCACAAAAAACAAAAGAGGCACTGATCTTGCCAATCCCTCTAACAATTGGTTAGTCCCACTGGCGGGGTATTTGATACTCATCTGTAGGTGCGGCCCTGCCCCAGATTCAGGGGCAAATCCTAGGTCTGGCTGAAGGCTTTGAAAGGGCTGTTTTGCAATTCAGGGGACATAATTAGGTTACTCTGTGACTTGAACTGCTCCGATCAAATGTGCAGGTTTGGATTTCTGGGCTTCTGCTTTCATTCTGAGATTGAGTCTCCATTCTGATTCCCTGCTGTAGGACCTGAGTCCTTGATCCTCTGCTCCATAACCCAGCACCCTCCAGACTCAGTAGTCGCATTTTTTTACATCTGTTTTCCCAAGGGAAATGCCTGAACCGTGGACCAAGCTGAGACCTTGCTGAGCCCATGCTGCCTGCCCCATCCTCTGCTTCACCTCCACTTTCCTTGCTGTCAGTAATAATTGTGCCAGGCATGGTGGCGCATGATTGTAATCCCAGCACTCAGGAGGCTGAGGCAGGAGGATGGTTGTGAGTTCGAGACCAGCCTGCACTACTAAGTGAGCTCAAGTCCACCCTGAACTGCACAGTGAGACCCTTTCTCAAAAAAAAAGACAAAAAAAAGTGTCTACCACAGATGACTGATCTGTGGACAGGGTAGCAGGGGCACTTGGGGTGATAGGCCCTCCCCCCAATTAGACAAGCTTAGGAAAGGAGGCATGGACTAACCAGAAACCCCCCGGGTGCCTGCTCCCTCCTAACCATAGATATTGCTGCCCATGGCCCCGTAGTTGGTGGCTGTAAGCCCTCCCTGCCAGGCAGCCTCACTACTGCTCTGCCTTCTCCCTGTAACAGGGAACATAAATTGGACATAGTTTGTTAACTGAAAACATTCTCCACTTAAATTTCAGCAAACTGGTGATAAATGTCTGCAGCAAAAACATTTGTATTACTGTAGAAAAATCAAATCTGGAGACCATGCATGGAGGGGAAAAACTTTAAACTAAAAACATACCAACCACATGGGGAGTGAGTGAGTTTTTACAAGAATCTGCATGTGCCAATATATTTTACAACCACCAAACCACTATGTGTAATGCACAAGTAATTTGTTTGCAAAGTGTTCTTTTTTTTTTTTTTTGGTTTGTTTTTGCTTTGAGACACGATTTCACCATGCAATCCACGCTGCGCTTGAGCTCAGTATGTAGCCCAGGTTGGCCTTGAACTTGCTAAGATCCTCCTGCCTCAGCCTCCCGAGTGCTGGGATGAAGGTGTGTAGCATTACACTGGGTTAGAAAAGTGTCTTGTAGACTGCCCTCATGTTACATCTGAGTAAGAATTGCCTCTATACACTTTTTCAAGTGGACAAAGAGGAAAATCTCTTGGATCCGGGGAAAGAGAAAATCTGGAGTTTGTGACCTAAACAGTTTCCTGCTATGGATTTCTAAGTTGCCCTAATGGAACTGGGGGATAGGCTGTGAAGTCTAACATGTCGTGAAATCTTTTTAGGCCCTGAAATCAAGAATTGCCGTACAATTTCTAACCAGAGAAGACACTGAGGATAGCACTTGAGCATTTACTTTGTGCCAGGCACTGTGCTAAGCACCTCCCGTGAGTTACCTCATTCCATTTGACCAAGTGCTAGTGTCCCCATTTTACAGATGGGGGAAGCAAGGCAGGGAGGTCATCAAGAACTGTTCTCAAGGTCCCAGGAGTGGGGACTTGGAAAACCAACAAACTTAAGTCTGGCTGCAACTAAAGACTTTTAATTTGGGGCTGGGGATTTAGCTCAGTGGCATAAGCACCTGCCCGGCAAGTACAAGGTCCTGAGTTTGATCCCCCCACCCAAAAAAAACTTTGGATTTTAACTAACACTTTGTGTGTATTTAGGTCGCCCAAGGACAGCTTTTATAAGATTTGAAAACAAGTCAGGTGTGATGGCTCACGCCTGTAATCCCAGCACTTGAGCTGAGGCAGGAGGATTGTTAAGAGTTTGAGGACCAGCCTGGGCTACTGAGCTCAAAGCCAGTCTGCGCTGCATAGTGAGACCCTGTCTCAAAAAAACAAAAACAAAACAAAACAAAAAAGACTTGAAAACATAGTCCTGGGTGGATATTAGGCCTCCCTCTCATTTGCTCTTTTTTTTCTTTTTGAGACACGGCCTCCCTATGCAGTTCAGGCTGGCTTTGAGCTCACTTTGTAACCCAGGCTGGTCTCGAACTCACAACAATCCACCTGCCTCAGCTCGAGTGCTGAGATTACAGGCGTGAGCCACCACGCCCGGCTTGTTTTCAAATCTTATGACAGATGCTTCCTCTCATTTTCACTATGCCTTTTCATTTTCCATGACCGCGTTTGAACCATGTGTGCATTTGTGAGCATGACTTCTATGGGGAAGGCATGGGTGTGGGCAGGCAGTATAAAAAGGATTAACCCAGCACTCTGGGAAGTTAAGACAGGAAGCTCACAAGTTGGGGTCCATCCTGGGCAACCTAGCAAGATCCTGTTTTAAAATTAAAAATGGGGGTAGGGGTGCAGGCCAGTGGTAAAAGGCCGCTGGGTTCAATAGTGGGGAAGGGGGTGAGAAGATTAAAATGTCCTTGGGGTTTTCCAGGAGTTTAAAGTTGTCTCGTTAAGGAAGTGACTGTATGAGCAACCAATTTACAACCAATGCAGAACATAATTTGCTGTCCTGGAAACACTGGGTGGACCTAAGCGCAGGAGCAGCACTTTCATCAGGTAAATAGAATTAGGATTTGCTGCAAATGAATGCTAATAGGCGGAATCCCAGGAGAGAGGCAGAAAACGCTGCCCCTGAGGAAACCCTGAGAGCGTGACCAGGCCGCTTACTCTGACTGGGAAACCAGCCCACCGCCTGCCAGCCCTGGTGCCGGCCGCTCACCGGGCACCCGGACATCTGAGCCGCGCTGATTGAAGCTTGGCCTCCACCGCATCACCAAGCCTGCTTTCTGTCCTGGTAACCCCAGCCGTGCTCCCCAACACCCCTGAAGTCTGCAGCAGTCTGCAATCAGGGTGCAGAGACTCAACCGTGGCACACAAAGCGGGATGCACTTCAAACTTCGCCAGCTTTGGATTCGGTAACTCTGAGGCTCTTTTTTCTTTCTTTTCTTTTTTCTTTCTTTTTCATTTCTAAGCGACTTTACATGACAAAGGCTACCGAGACCGTCATTAATTAAACCTGCCCCTTGTCACCCTCTGAAGGAGGTTTGCATTGGCCTGCTCATTTCACAGCTGAGGAAGCAGACAGAAAGGCTCCGGGTTTTGCTGACGTGCAGTGGTGTTCACCTCAGGGAGCCTGGCCCAGTTCACTGTCCAGTTCATTCTTCTTTGCCTGGAAGAGGCTTTCAAGGTGCCCAGCTCTTCACTCCGTGCAGTTTAAGGGCATTAGCTGGGAAACCGAGTTTGGCAGCAAGAGCTGCGGCACAGCCCGGAGAACCGGTGCGGGGCTCGGGTTGTTTGAACTACGCCGTGCTCCAGTTTCCCGTCTCTCCTATTTGCTCCGGCACAGGAAGGAGGGTGCCGGGACAGGATTGGAACACTGGCTTCAGACCAGTGCTACCTTTGATGGTGTGGCCCAGCCACTACCTTCTCAGTGCTAGATCTTTTCCTGAGGGCCCACTCAGTCTGTCTCCCCAAATTCAATCATCAATCATTCCTTAATACAGTATAGCACCCACTTAATGGGTTTTCTAGTGTGTGAGCTCTGATGAGTAATCTGGAGATGACTGCAAGTACGTAGGAGGATACTACCTGCAAATAGTCCACCATCTCTCATAGAGGGCACTTGAGCATTTTCATATTTTGGACCCAATTCCTCCACTATATTAAGGGACGAATATAGGTTAAAATTCTTAAAATCAAACATGTCCCAAGAGCAGATCCATTTTGCATTGGTGGAGCCTGGGGCAAAAGTAAAATGAAGGCCCACAGATGTTTAAATATTTAAAAATTATAGTAACAACCCAGAAAATCCTCACAGAACCACACTATGCCAGGGGGGTTCCAGGAGGGCTATCCTAGCCAGTATGGGTGCCCTTCTTTCCACCCCAGGCCTGGCAGCTTCACGAAGGCCTCACACACACGTGAAGTGGATCCCAGATACTTCTGGTCATAGCTCCACTCTTTGGTCACTGCTTAGGCCTATGGTGCCACACTAGTTGTACAGTCCACTCTCAGAAGTCTAGATTGAGCCAGGCATCGTGGTACCTGGGCTACCTAGTAAGTTCAAGGCCAGTCTGAACTACATAGCAAGACCTTGACTCTTAAAAAAAAGGTCTCAAGCAAGAGGCCCATATCAGTCCTAGAATCAGGGTCTTTAGCAGGAAACGTGGGATCTTGGCATGTTGAACTCTGCTTGCCCAGTGAGGAAGAGTGCAAAAGAGGGCTGAAAGGATTGCTGGCCCAGGCAGGGGTCAGGCTCTCTGAAGTCACCTGCAGGCAGGGACTTGTCTTGCTAAAAGCAAATCATGACTGGCTAAATAAAAAAACAAGCCACAAGTATAAGTTAATACTAGAGTTTTACACAAATGTGGATGCCATAGATAACTTCTACCTTGACTCTAAAACACAGAAGCATGAGCTGTCTCAAGAGTTTTATCTGCTGCCTCCAAACAAACTTGCTTATTTTGGGAAGTTCATGTGATACCCAGCATGTAAAAGGGCCAGAAACGAGATGACTCTCCTTCATGATGAAATATTTCACTGAGGACCCCCAGAAGCACCAGCTATCAAACCTCTAGATGGTGATGCTGGGGAGGGAAAGGGGACCGCTTCTGCTGCCTCGCAGAATGCAGTAAGAAGAGAAGCATGTCCCCTCGAGCTGCTGTGCACCTCCGTGACATTGTTCTTTGCTGGGGGGGGGGCGGGGAGTGGTCCTAGGGTCAAAGATTGAGGGGAACTGCAGGACAAAAGATCCCTCAAGTTCCTCAGAATTGGGGTCTTCATCCCAGTCCTGGCTTGAGCTACAGTGAAGTAAAAAATAGGAACTTTTTTTTGGTACCAGGGATCAAACTCATGACTTCATGCTTGCCAGGTGGAACTTGCTAATAGTTAACCCACATCTCACTTCTGATTAAATAGATTTACAACCTGTGACTTTAAGAACATGTAGCACATATATATAAAAGCATTCTTATCACCAAATTCTCAAGGCAAAAGATGTAATAGGAAATGTGTAAGGTATGTATTTTGATTATTACCATGTATTTAGACACTAGCATTGAATCCTGGGTTTTTTGTTATTGTTGTTGTTGATTTTTTGAGGCAGGGTCTCGCCATGTAGTTCAGATCAGGCTTGAATTCACTATGTAGCCCAGGCTGGCCCCAAACCTGCAGCAATCTTCCTGCCTCAGCCTCCCGAGTTCTGGGATTATAGGTGTGTGCCACCATGCCCGGTTGAATCCTGGATTTTAGCTTAGGCAAGGGTTTCATCAGACTTCCTTTAATCTCATCATGACTCCTAATATGCAAAAGACCATTTCTTTAATATTCATTGGAGGTTGGTTATATAAGTTAATTTCCTTAAAATTCATTCTGCTTTTTACCCGAAAGTAAATATACAGTCAATATCAGAATACAAAATCTGCATACAGTCAAGTGACAGCTACTTCTTGAATGCAGACAGACAGACAGACAGACAGACAGACAGGTCTTCTTCCTTCTCTGGTGAGCTTTCCTCCCAAAGATCTACTGTCCAGTCAGATCGAGCCACTCTGCACAGCCACAGACCCTTTGGGTGCCCAGGCTGACATCATTGCTGGTTGTCACCTGACAGTTCGGCCAGTTTACTTCTCTACTGTAGTCCACATAAGGATCCAGCTTCTGGAAAGCATCTTGAAGCTGCCCAGCATGTGCAGGCTCCATGTGATTCATCTTCCTGCCTATCCAGTTAAGGATGAATCGTGGTCCCAGTCAGCTGCTCAGTGCTGGTGAGCAAGACCATGCCAGCATGGTCCTCACCTGTGTCTAAACAGGAGCTTGATTCTTGGGGATGCTGATGGCTACTAGGAAACCCGATGTAACCTTCCGTTTATCTGGTACAGTTAGGGAACAGGATGTTCTAATACACCGGGTAATCTGCTCAACTGTGCCCAACTGTGGACTATCAGTTTTTGTTTGTTCATTTATTGTTTTTGAGACAAGGTTTCACTATGTAGTTCAAGCTGGCCTTGGACTCACTTTGTAGCCCAGGCTGGTCTTAACTCACAGAGATTCTCCTGCTTCAGTCTTCCGAGTGCTGAGATTGCAGGTGTGTACCACCATCCCCAACTGGACAACCGATTTTGAAAGAGATTTAGTTTGAAACAACTATAAACCAATCCCATGTATATCACTTGCTTTCCTTATAAGATCACAGACTTCTTTCATTTGAGACAGTTCCTTGTGTAGGAGAGGCTGAACTCAAACTTTTTTTTTTTAATCAGTACCAGGGATCGAACTCACGACTGCCTACTTGCAAGGCAGGCGCTTATGCTGCTGAGCTAAATTCCCAGCCCCTGCACTCAAACTCTTGATCCTCCTGCCTTAAGGGATTACAAGTGTATGCCACCATGCCCAGTTTATAAGATCACAGACTTCTGAAAGAATGGTCTGTTTTAGTTCTGTTTGTTTCCCTTATAGTATCTCACAAGCTGCTTTACATGTTGTAGGTGCTTTTAAAATGTTTTCATTAAATTAATGAAAATACAGAACACAAACTGTAATTTCCCCACATGACTGAATCCTTCTTTGATGACTCAGATGCCCTCCAGGATGACACGTGTCTTTGGGGTTATTATATGTCTGTATCTCTGGGGATGGTTAAGGAAAGGCCAAGTGGTCAAAGGGGAATTCTGCAATGACAGGAAGACAAGCTTGGATGTCTACTAGTTCATTCCAATTCTAAGTCTGTGTGTGGATGTGTCTGTAAGATTAAATGTCAAAATGGAAATGAACTCCTTTGCTATTATCTAAAAGAAACACCACATTACAGTGCAATTGTTTATGGAGCCAAAGGATTACTGCCCATAATGAATGTTAAATAGCCTATAAACAGAATCCTCATGGCATTTGATCATGATAGTCAAGGAATCTATCTTTGAGATTTTTTTTGAAAATGTAGGATATTATTAATATCACTAGTATATTATTACCACTATTTAATTTGATTAAACCCTATCATTAGATAATTGACTAATTAATGCATAATGCATATTCACCACTACCTGGCTTATATATGCCAAGCCCTGTGTTATTCATTAGGGATACAATGTGCTTATAATTCACACCCTCAGATACATAAATGATTCACCTCTGAAAACATTTCATTGTGCAGATTATTTTACAGCATTTTAAATGTTAGTGTAGGACATTAGACTGGGTGTGATGCGACCCTCTGACATGTCCATCCCAAATACAGCCCAACACAAAAAGAAAAAAGTGAATGTTAGCCTACTGAGCACGCATCTTTCTCTCAAAAACACATCACATGGGATGTTCATTGGAGAATTAAGTTTTATGCACCATCAGAATTGTAGGTTAAAAACAACAACAAAAAGAATTGTAGGTAAATATGTTTTTGAACATGGGTGATTTTCATTTCAGGTTTGTTCCCTGGGACTTGAGGGTAAAGCAGCTGCTCCAGGTTGTGGTGACCTTTGGGTAGGTGAGATGGTACAGAAGTGGCAACAGAGTTCCAGGGGCTGACTCAGGAGAACCCGAAGGCGGGACAGTGCCCTCAGTCCAGCCCATCTGGCCACAAATGCTGCTTCCCTTCCTGACACTTCCTGTAAACACGCTGATGCACATCGTGATATTGAGACTACGATTTAGTGTGGTATCTCTGTATCTAGGAGGAAGAACTGAGATCAGATCAGTTTCTCAGCATGTATCCTGCAGAGCCCAGGTCCCAGGAGACCACAGAGGCAGATGGGGAGTCAGGTGCTTTGTCCTGCTGTGGAGAGGTCACCGTGCATCTCAGTGTGTCAGGCAGGTCCTGAGCTGCACTCACAGATCACTATGACAACAGTGTTTCTCCAAAGGTTTTGACCATGAGATCCCTTCTCCTACCATCACCCACTAACCTCTGATTATTCACCTGGTGATCTGAGCTACACATTTTGAGAAAGGCTGGAATAAACAATCTTGACAGTCATCAGTGTTACAGCATCTCCAAACACCTGATTTCTCATCTTAGAATTCAGAAATCTTTTGAGGCTAGATGACCTGCAGGGATCTGACTCCATGGCTAGACTTGGTCTCTTTCCTTTGTCAGTTTTCTTACATCCTGTATTCTAATAATTCCAGTGAGAAACTTATTGTAAGAGAAGTTTTATTAAAAGCATCAGTAACTGAAATCTACAGATAATCCCTAAGTTCCAGAATTTTGACACTGAGCTCAAAGAGATTCTTTGATGTTTTTTAAATTGAAGTACGAAGTATGAGTCATAGATTCTTTGGCACAGGCCAAGGAAAACAGAACAGATACTTGGTAATACTGACCTTAAAGTCTGGTGTCCTAGATAGTGTCTTGCTTTGCCTGCCGGAAAGAGTCTCATACGTGGTCTTTACCTTGAGATCAAAAGACACAAACAAATTTAGGCTTCAGTTTCTTTTCACACTCTTTGCAAAAATTGTTGAGTTAGTGGTGAAGCTAACAGCAGTATTTGCCCAGCAGTGAACTCGCTACCCCACATTCCCAACTATAGTGATCCTAGCCCTGAAGTCACTGAAGAACCAGGCAATCTGCATTCTTTTTCAACAAACTGCTCTGGATGGCAGATGGCAAACACAAATGTTTTGCACGGGAGACATATGGAAACCTCTGTGATTCATAAAAGCCTCAATGAATATTAAGCCTCAAACGATGCCATTCACTGCAGAAATAAGATGTTGTGATAATCCCCCATAGTGGCCTAATTAGGCCCCATAGTTCTTGAGTTTCAGAAAGGAATAGATAGAAAATTACAATGGACTGGGAGCTCATTAGCAGTTTTGCTAAACCTGAATTTTTACCCTAGCCCAAAGCAATCTCTCACTCAGCTTTATTTCCATAGTGTTCTATTAGGTTGTCGCCATTATGTTATAATTGTGGATCTTAAAAAAAATGGATAATCACAGAGTTCTCCCAACAAGGAGAGCAAAGAATTTTACGAAGTGATAGGATGTTTTATCAGAGGTTCTAGAGCAATTCAACATATTCTGTGATGAACTCTGTATGTCCTTATTCCTGTTTAATGGGGAGAAAGTCTATGTTCACGATTTTGAAATTAATTGCCCATTTTTAAGGAGGAATTGGAGGCAGGAATCTGTCTGAATTTGGCCCAAAATACAAAGCAGAATTTAATTTCTCTGTTAAACCAGTAGGTTAGTAACTCAGTACATTTTTGGTAACCCTAATATATTATTGCTCTCTTAGAAAGGACTGAAACTTTGTACTCTTTGGAAAAAAAGAAGTACTGATAACTGAGTCATACCAGTGAATCCAGTGCTATTTGAAAAAGGAACTTAGGTGCTGCCTTTCCCAGCACCACACCCTGTATGGGAGCTGAAAGGCTGCTGAAAGGCACCAGGGTGTTTAGGTGGCCTAGGAGATCAAAGTCTGTAAGACTGGAACCCTCAGACTTAAGGTCATCTGTTAGGAGCCTGAGGTTCCACAGTCTAAAGGATTTTGCAGATGTAAAAGGATTTACCAGTCCAGCACCCCTCATTTTACAGATGTGGAAACTGAGGTACAGCACGGTCATTGTGCTTGTTTAAGGTCATGTAGCTAGTTAGTGCCAGAACCAGGAAGAGAGGTAGTCATCTGATACTTAGTCCTATCATTTTTCCATTATGAAGTCCAGAACAGGTTTACCAGAGCCTAATAGAGAAGCTGGAGGCTGCCAAAGTGTTTAACCTGAGCTTTTGCCTTAGTTGGCTGCTGCAGTAGGGCACAGACTGCACCAAGCGTCCCTTTGCCTGTATTAATTTTGGTCCATCTACTTTTTCCTCAAAGAGACCATATTTCCTTCTTCCCATTGAGCTATCCGACTGTCTGTTTAAGTGAATGACAGGTCAGCGTTTTCCTGGATTCAGTTCTATGATTTTTCCAGAAATTCCATTACTAACTACTGAGAAATACTTCACACAAATATTCCTATGATTTGATTTAAACGTGATAGTGTCATTCGTTGTTTCCCCAACCTTCCTTCCTCCTGTCTCTTCTATTTCTAACATAATCCTATCTTCAGAGGGGTGACTGATTCCACATCCAATTCTAGTGGCTTAAGCCAATTGATCTAGTCTGCTGGTAAGACTTTTGACTAGTTTGAAGAAAGGCAGTCAAGCTTCAAGGGACACATTTTAAATTTGCATCTGTGTGTGTGTGTGTGTGTGTGTGTGGTACTGGGGACCAAATGTACAACCATGAGCTTGCCAGGCAGATGCTTATACCTCTGAGATGAACTCCCAGCCTCTCAAGGAACAAAATTCCAGATATTTATTTAAACTCTTAGGGAAGAGGACTTTCTGTCTCCTTCTCTGCTTGAATCTAGAAGCAAGGAGCCCAGGAGTTTGAGTAACATATTTTTGCAACCACATGGGGCTGAACTTGGAAAAAGCATTCAGAAACCGAGAGAGAAACCAGGTCCCAGGCAGGTTATCTAAGCTGCTGGATGAAACCTGACCTGTATCTGATTCTTTTACTATATGATCAAATAGGTATTTTTATTACATATTGAAGCCATAAAGTATCTTTTACTTATTAACATAAGCACCCTAATACCTGTTATGATAGACTGCATTAGCACCTCTGCACTTTGCTATGAGGTCAATGTCTACTTTGGCCCCAAAAGGCTTTCTTGGGCAGGAGATGCAGGTCAGTGGTGGAGCACTTGCCCAGCATGTAGAAGGTCTTTAGTTCAATTCCCAGCGATACACACATGTATACACACACTCTCACACTCACACAAAGACTCTTTAATGGCTCAAGTTTTCAAGGAGTCCTACCCAAAACATATGTGCTTGCTGCACAGACACCTTATTTGATAGAAACCTCTGACACAGCAATGCCTAAGTTAATGACAGGAATGAATTCCTAATATTTTATCATCAGAAATGTTACCATCACACAAAGAAGTGACTTAAGAGGCATTAGAGCAGATTCCTCACAAGTCACCTTTTAGTAGTTTAGGCTATTGAGCCCCATGCTGCAAGCTTGCTAGGCTGCACCTCCCCTTTCTGTGGGCTCCACGTTATCCAGAAATGGAGCCACCACCCAGAATAGTTGCACCCTGAATAGCTTCTTCTTAATTCTAGGGGATTAAGTCTCCACCCATACATCAAGAAAAGAGTTTTGTCTTCATCTAGCCATTGGCCTTGGCCCTCACTGGTATTCTACGGAGCTATGCCAAAGACAGCCTCCCACTCAGTCATGCTCATTAACCCAGGGCAGAGGGATGAATGCACACTGTCTTCCTGCCTCTTACACTATGCTGAATTTGTCACAAGAAACTAGGTTTTGTAGAGATTTATTAATCACATACTGTACTTTTATGCAGCAATTTAAAAAATAGTATCATCTCATTTTTATTTAACTTTTGCATCCAGTGGTGATATACAAACTATATGATACTCAAAAGCTGGCTGTGCTGATATACACCTGCAGTCCCAACATTCTGGAGGTTAAGGCAGAAAGATGAAGAGTTTGAGACCAGTTTGAGCTACAGAGAACTCATTTCAAACAACCACCGCCAGCAATACAAGCAACAATCAGTTTTGCATGAGCACTTAACAAATCAGATTGGAAGCTTGACTAATTAGAATGGATGCTCAAATAATCAAAATGGACACACAACCAATCAGAATGGCTGCTCCAGTGAGAGAAAGAAAAGTTGACCAATCATCAGGCAGGGTGGCACACACCTGTAATCCTAGCAGCTGGGAGGCTGAGATACGAGGATCACTGCATTCAACATGAGCCTGAGTTATCTAGTGAGACCCTGTCTCAAAAAAACCCCTAAGGCTCGGGATATAGTTCAGTGGCACAACACCTGCCCGGCAAGCACAAGGTCCTAAATTCTATTCCCAGGAAAAAAGACAAACAAAAAACCCTCAAAATCCCAGTCAACCAACCAATAAACAAAAACCGCTGGCCAGTCAGAATTCAGAATGGACACTTGAACCATCATTATAAATGCAGTATGGAACAGCACTTATCACTGAACGCTTCACTTGTGTGTTCTCCCCCAATTAGGTGGGAGTAAATTCAAGGTAGAAACCACATTGGTAGATCTCTCTGTGTCCTTCAGGTGGCCTTGCCAAGCCAACTTCATAATGTGAGCTTAATGAGTTTTTGTTAGAGTGGACATTACTCATCCTGTGATTGCTCAGGAAATATCAGTGGGTGGGAAGAGTACAGTTTGTCCCTTTCTGATGAGGATAATTATAGAATTATACCACTAGACTATCACTAAACAAATAGCATGTTTTTAGATGGTGCACAGCTGATAAAAAATTGGCAGTTTTCAGGCCTTATCATTAAATGTAATCTTGACAAACTAGAAAAATAATATATGGTCATGATGATTTCTAAATACAACAATGAAGAATGTACTTACAACATGAAATAACATATAGCTACAAGTGTAGTATAAATAGGTTGCTGAGGTCCACAGTACCCAAGTTTTATAGCAAATGATAAACCAAATTGTCCAAAATATCTTCCCATTAGCCAGACTGCTGGTATGATGGACAGATGTTCATGCATTCATTCATCCAACAACTTGAATGCCCACATGTAAGCACCCTGCTTACATGCTGGGGATGCCAGTGAGAAATCTGCAGGACCTTGTTGCTCAAAGAGCTTCAAGTCTTAAGGGAGAAGACAAAGACATATACACACTATTCAGGAACAGAGACAGAACTTGTTTAATGGCTGAGTCATCAGTCAGTGAACATAATCACGATGAAGAACATCTCTGTAGCCCACCGGGACAGCTGTGCTCAACAGATGGCAGAGGGCCAGTGCCCGAGAGCTGGGCAGAAGCATTAACACCAAGAGGCCAGAGGCTGCTTGGCCTTTAATTTTTCAGGGCAATGTAAGTGCATGTTTTTTTTTTTTTTTTTTTTTAGACAAGATCTCACTATGTAGTTCAGCCTGTCCTTGAACAACTCACTCATTATGTAGTCCATGCTGGCCTCAAACTCTTGGTGACTCTTCTGCCTCAGCCTCCAGTGCATAGGTTCTTGGAGAATACAATTAAGCAAAGGAAACTAGTGGTCTAGTGATGACTGATTCCAGTTCTGCTAGACCTTCACAAGTAGGGGTCTCACACACCTTTAATTTCACTCATGTACTTCAGAAAAACAATGCTTCTTGTCGAACATTATGGAACAATTTAAACCAGTTTAAAAATTCTTTTAAGTCTAAAAATTCTTTAATTGTTCTGAAAATTTACATAGAGAACACACAGACCCTCAAGAATATATTAGTACTGGCAAGTGCAAGGTTGTTTGATCTCTGGTACAAAGAAGAGAATATATTATTAGTTACTTGGGACATTTTGCACCTCCCAAGATGAATAACTACTGTTAGGGGAAGATAGCTTGGAATTGTGCAGCATGTTGGTCTTGCTTGCTGCCATGAAGAAAACTAGTCAAGGAGGCCAGGAATAATACAGGAAAAGTAACCAAAACATTGAGCAAAACCAGCCAGAAGCTCACATAGAATTCACATCAAACAGATCTCCTTCACATAGCATTGCCCCAGCTCATTGGAAAGGAAGAACTCAAATTGACTCTGCTTAGAGGAGTTGCCCACTTCTGTGGCTAGAGGATTGGAGTCTTGTGCTTCACATTCGCCAGGAAGGGAAGAGCAGCTTCCTAAAATCCAGAAAAAAGAATGGTGGCCTTGAAAAAAAAATCCTATGGAGAATAAACCTCATGGACACTAGAGTCTTGTTGTCAAGCTGTCATGGATGATGTAATCCTACAGAAAGCTTTGAAAAGTTTTTTCTCTCTTTTTTCAGTATTGTGGATTGAATGCAGGGGCTCATGAATACTACACAAACACTCTACCATTGAGCTATATCCCTAGCACTTTTTGATTTCAATTTTTGGTTCTGGGGATCAAACTCATGACCTCGGGCTTGCCAGGCAGGTGCTTGTGAAACTGAGCTAAACCCCCAGCTCCTTGATTTCTATTTTGAGACAGTCTCACTAAGTTGCTAAGCTGGCTTTGAACTTGTAATCCTCCTGCTGCAGCCTTTGCAGTAGCTGGGATCATAGGCATCTACCACCAGTTCAGGTAACAAATCAAACTGAATGTGCTGGTTTCCTTAGTGCTCTGCAGTGAGGTAGCATTTCTGGCAGAAAGTATAAATATGGTTTCCTCAGAGCACTGTAATACAGATTTTTCGAAAGAGTCTGCTAATAGCACTTGGAGAACAGGAGCCACCAGGAACCTGCTACCTGTGGTACCCTCATCTCTATAAACACACTTACACAAGTTTGCTCATCACATTCCTTGAGTCAGTAGTGCTGAGCTACTACTACCAAGAATCTGATCTAATATAGTGTTGCACCAAAGAAGACTGATAACTCATAAAGAATCTGATTCTTTTTAAAGTAGTGTCAATATATCAAAGTGCTTGAATGGTTCAACAGTGGTACAAACTTACCAACTAGAAAGTCCCAATATTATACATACTTGGTGGTAGAGAAAAGCTGAGGAAGTGAAAACAAGACAGAATTATATTTTTAAAAAAATTCCCACCAATTAATGAAATTCCCCTAAGGAAATTTAGGGACTTTATTAAGAATCCTAATCCTAGCTTCTCTTTTAAACTTAAGTTATTCATCATCTCAGCCTGTTCTTACTCATACAGAAAGAAAATGACAGTAGGTGAACTCAAATGGTAGAACTAAACAAACTTATTTTAATATGAACACATCTTCAAACAGAAGACTCTACTGGCCTTTGAGGATTCTACCTTTTCTAGAAATGAGGACACAGGAATAGAATCATACTTGTTGACTGGCTGAAGCCAAGTGCAGAAGCTTGCCTTAGCCAAGTATGGTGCAGCACGTCTGTGATCCCAGTCCTCTAGGAGCCTGAGGCATGAAGATCCCAAGTCTGAGTCCAATTTGGGCATTGTAGTGACTCATAATAAAAAAGGGTAGGAGATGTAGTTCAGTACAAAGACCCTGACCTACACTGCTAAATTTTCAGTCACACACACATACACACACACACACAATGCTTGACTAAGGCCTGGCCTGGGCAGAGCTTCAGCCTGTGCTACAGGACAGAGTCCCTCCTTGTTACCATGACTCTGACATCACTAGAACTTTGTTCTCAACAAGAGGGCTTTAGGAATTAGATATTCAGATAATAGCTGCAGTAGGCCACAAAAGCTAGTGCCCTTTAGACACCACATCATCAATAAATGTGAGGTAATGATGATGTATTTCATCTTTTGTCCACATAGAAGCTGAAGGTCAACAATGGGCCAGTACTGTCCTGCTACAATAAGACCAAGAATGTAACATCAGTGGCACTGTATATAAAGTCACAAGGTAGTCATGATGTATCATAAAAGAGCCTGCAGAGCCAGGCATGGTGGCACACACGTATAATCCCAGTGTGCTGGGAGGCTGAAGCAGGAGGATTCCAAGTTTGAGGCCCAGCTGGAGTAACTTATTGAGACACTATCTCAAAAATAAAAAGGACTGGGATGTAGTTTATTGCAAAGCACTGGGTTTAATCTCTAGTACTGGGGGTGGGGAGTGGGGGACTTCTGACTTGTTCAACTGTTCATGCTTTTTTCTTATTGCAGGAATGGTTGAGTCTAATGGTTCCCTTAAACAACATGTAACACGCCAGTAGTGTGTCCTTATGTATAAATACTGTAGCACAGGTGTAAATAAATATCTGAGCAGTGATTCTCAAATGTTTTGACTTCAGGATTCTTTTCTTTTTGGGCATTGAACTCACTACATAGCCTAGATTGGCCTGGATTATAGGCATGCACTACCACACCTGGCCATAGGACTCTTTTATCCTCTTGAAGTTTACTGAAGTTTTTGTTTTGTTTTTTGAGGTAGGGTCTTGCTATGTAATTCAAGCTGGCTGTGAACTCACTATTGAGCCCAGAGTGGCCTCAAACATGTTGCAGTCCTCCTTGCCTCAGTCTTCTGAGTGCTAGCTTTATAGCTGTGTTCCACTGCCCACCCCCCACCCCCAGCTCAAAGAGCTTTTTCTTCGTGTTTTTTCCCCCCTCTGGTTCTAGTTGCTGATATTTGACTTATTAGGAATTAAAACCGAGAAGAAATTCTTGGGGAACAGAGATCTCTGATGAGGTGGGGTGCCTGGATCTCTTGGCTACTCCTTTCTCCTTACCTGAATGTAAATCTCCTAAATCGAATTTAAGTGAACGCTGCGTCCTTCTTGCGTTTGTCACTCGTTAAATGACTGCCTGTCTGCCAAGGGGTGATGAATATAAACACCACTTACTTCGGTACCACTCACAAGGCTGTACTGGCTCGAAGTGCTTTCACTTCTGGTTTTCACTTTTCATTACAGCCCTATGAAATAGCTGGTTTTATATTCGTTTTACAGCTGAGAAAACCGAGTTCTACAGACATTGTGTGACCCGGTCACAGCGGTTAAGCAGCTGAGGCAGGACTACATCCAAATCATATTCTCTACATGCCCATGGCCAAAGTTCCCATCTCAGATGATGCTTGTTTTTTTTTTTCACAGTAGCACAAGACTTCCCATATTTTTAAAATCCTTCCTCCTTCGGGGAGAGGGACGAGGTCTGTGAAGCAGGTTCTCTGAAATAGTTATCGCGCGTGGCCATGGTCTGTGTAGCGTGAAGGGAGCACGAGTCAGTATGGTACTCATTCTTCTGCCAGACGGTCTCCAGATTGCATCTCCCAGCCCTGAGAAAGCCTCCCTGCTTCATCCCAGCCGAAGGGATACGGAAGCCGAGGGACGCAGTCCTGGATTTGAAAGGCGCCCGCAAACAAAGAAACAACGAAGTTAAGTTCCGGCGGCGCGGTGAGCAGAGTTAGAAACGAGGTTTCCCTTCCCTGCTTGTTTGGAAAGGCCTAGTCCACCGGGTCACAGCACCCCGAGCGATCTTTCTTTCGCCCGCCTGACCGTCCTCTGACAGTCCACACCCGGCACACCCGCAGTTCTCGGAAGAAACTACGAGTCCCATGAAGCCTCGGGGGCGGGGCGCGGGTGGTGATGATGACGTCCCCGGGGATTGGTAGCAAGGGCTGGGGCGGGGCACGGGGCGGACACGCGCGCGCGCGCGCGCGCGGCTGGGCGGACACGCCCCCCGGCTCGCGGCCCCCTCAGCGCGTTCTCCGCCGCCGGCGCCGCCGCCTCTCGCTCCCCAGTCAGAGGGCCGGAGCGAGAAGATGGCGAAGACTTACGACTATCTGTTCAAGCTGCTGCTGATCGGAGACTCGGGCGTGGGCAAGACCTGCCTCCTGTTCCGCTTCTCCGAGGATGCCTTCAACACCACCTTCATTTCCACCATCGGTGAGGGAGGGGCGGCGGCCCGGGACTGGGGAGCAAGATGGGGAGCGGTACTGGGGGGGGCCCTGAGCCAGGGCGAGCGAGGGCTCGAGCGCCAGGGAGAGGGGGCCACGGGGCCCGGGGAGGCAAGGGCGGTGCGGGAGGCGAAGGCGTGAGGGAGAGGGGCCGGCTGGGGCTCGGGGCTGGGCAGTGCAGGAGGAACTTGGGGGCCACGGAGAGGAAGCAAAGGAACGAGGATTAGGGGTGCTGACCAGGAGCGGTCCCAGAGGTACAAAGTCGGAGTAGGGGGATGACTCGGGAAACCGCTCCGGGAGAGAGAAGGGATAGTGGGTGTGAAAATGGTGAAAAGATAGCGAAGAGGAAGGAAATGTGAGAGGGAAGCGAAGAGTTGGAGGAGAGGGACGTGAAGTGAAGGGACAGAGGACACCGGGGACAGGAGGGTGAGACCAGGCAGCCGGGTGGGAATTGGGGGGATGGATGACCTGGGGGGGGGTGAGGGGTCGCGGCTCTCTGGCATAAGAGGTCTGGACGGAGATCTAGGAAAGAGAGCGGCGTGAGGGTACTTGGTGGAGAAAGTAAAAGAGAGCTGCGTGCCAGGTAGGAAAGGAACAGGGAAGCCGCATTCATTCATAGCAGGGAAGCTGAGCAGAGCAGACCGGAGAGGAGATGTTCAGCCGTGGCTGCAAGACTTTCTCCAGTGATGGGGACTCCTGGTGCCCAGATTTTCTCTGTACTTCTCTTGAATCAAGTGCAGGAGAAAACAAAAAGTGACTAAAGATGGAATAATGCGTGTGGAGTGTTAAGTTGTTCCATGAATTAATGGATGTTAAGGGGCCAGCTTGGTGACTTTTGGAAATGATGTGGTCAGGAAAATATGGCTCACCCCTTTATTACCATCTCCTGAGAAACAAGACTTTTCATCTTTTTAAATTCTTGGGCTTCAATGATTCATAACTGTTAAGCCAGGGGATTGATGTTGAGTTCTGCCTGCCTCCCTCTGTGCCTTCCTTTTGGTTCTAATTGCTTGTTAAATACATCACAACATGGGATATCTCTCCCCCATTACTTCCAGTTGATTGAGAGTTTTCTAATCTTGTGTGGGAGCTGTCCTTTCTACATTTGTAGTGAAAGACATTATGTCAGGTAACAAGGTCTCTAACTTAACTACAAATGCAAAAGCAAATCACAACTGCATTTAAACTGCCTTTAGAAGTGAGTTTAAATTTTTTAATAGTGCAGTTAATTAAACACGTTAGGAATCTTGGTTTTGGGTTTTCTTATAGCAGCTTATTTAGGTATCTTTCAGATGATTCTTCACAGCATATTTCACCATGAATTTCTGGGTCAGGAAATAATAGAGGGCTAGTTCTTTAGTAATAAGTGTTTTTAAATATTTGTGTATTTTAAGGATATTATCTTTTTAAAAATAGTACTTGTGTATAAAGCACCTTTTAATTCAAGTATTGGGAAAGGTTTCCATTTGTTTATTCTAATCACTTTCATACAGATTGAACAGTCTAAAACTGTTGTCTGGCTTAGAGAAGTTTGAGTTCCAAGTTGTTGGCAAGTCAGTCTTGAGTGGGACTTTTTCTTTTCTGAGGAAGCAGATTTTAAATGTCATCTCTCAAGTGTACTTCAAAAAGATTTGGTGGGAGCTGGTACAGCAATTAAAGGGTGTTAATTTTTGACTCTGGTACTAATTAAAACCCCCAGCTAACTCTTTGTTGAATGCATGCTGTAGTTGCAGATGGTAAGCAGTTGAGTGGGTGGACTTTATCTATTTTTTGTGAGACCCCCCCCCAATCCTCATGCCTTGAAATTGAATAAATCACACTGATGCTGTTTGTTAAATTCCTTAGATGAGTTTTTGCTTATTTATACTTTTACTAGTTTTTTTCCTTTAATTTTTGTCCCATATTTTCTGTAATGGTATCTGATAACTTTTAAAGTAGTAGTTTTTAAAATTATTTTTCTGGCAGGAGGTTTAGCTCAGTGATATAGCACATGCTTAGCATTGCATAACATCCTGGTTTTAGAACCAACCCAATAAATAAATGCATAAATAAATAATTTTAAAAGTATTTTCATTCTGAAGGTTACAACTGAGTGAATTCCAACCCTCCTCCCACTCAGTGGAGATTGAATTTAGGGCCTGCAGCATGCTAAGCAAGTGCTTACCACTTAGCTGTGTACCAAAACCCTTAAGTGTATTTTATTTTTTAAATGATGAAATACATTTCTTTGGAGTTTTATAGCTATTAAGTTATGAAAACCTGCATCTTGCAATGGTTTCAGATAGGAGGTAGGCATTAAATGGGGTGAATCTCATGGGACATCTTGGTTTTCATAGTTTTTTTGTGTGTGGTGGATGTGGTTAAAAAGAAGCTGTGAGCTATGTCTTCAGTTGACACTGAGTTGTGTGTGGAGAGGGCGCCTCTTACTTAGCCCCAGGGCTCCAACAGGAAGTGATAGCACACTACTTTCAAACAGCAGAATAATTTATGTATCTGAAACTTAATGCTTTGCAGTCAAAGTTAAGCTGGGAAAATTAGTCAAATGTTAATGCCATCCTAATGAAAATTTCCACAGACTCTTCACTCACCATAAATAAGACTGTCAGTGTTCACATCTCGAGCAGCAATGCCAACTCCCCCAGCCTCATCTCCCCATCCCCAGGGGATCTAAAGCTGTTGAGGTGACCCTTTGTGGCCTGGCTCTTCCCTAGTCATATAACTGTGTCTTGAAGTACCTGTATGGGTAAGTTGCTGGGCTTTTCCATGACTGGATTTTCACAAGTCTACCCTTCTGTTGCTGACAAAATTTGATAAGCTGTGCATCACAGGAAGGATCCATTTCTTGATGCCTGGGGTTGGTGTGTGTGTTTTGTTAGCTACTTATAAATGTCTCATTTCTTTCCATAAAAGTACCCTTTAAGTTTTGATTTCCCTGTTAAAAAGTTTTGGGGCTGGAGGTTTAGCTCAGCGGCCTAAGTGCCTGCCTGCGAGCAGGCAGTCGTGAGTTCGATCCCCGGTACCGATAAAAAGGAAAAAGATTAAAAAAAAAAAAAAAGTTTTAAAAATGGGAGCCTGCCATCTTTAGACTATTTTATTAGAGGTTCTGTTGTCTTGAAAGGGAGATATGGTAATTTTTGATTCCGGATTCATTCGTCTCACAGATACTTTCTCACTTCTCTAAGGTTTTGCCACCCTGAGTCCTCTCATTTCCTTTTCCTCTTTGCAGTGGTAAAAAGTAGATTTTCTTTTATCTAACCTTTTGGAGATCTTGGAGTAGAAATATTTGTCAGATAATATTTGTTAATCATGGAGTAACGATATTTTTATCCACTTGAAATTATAGACCCAGTGCCTAGGACCAACTAGTCTTTCAGGTCAAATACTGAAAAATTGTTGATTGGTTCCTAAAATCCCCTTACATAATCACAATTAACATATAATTAGATGCCTACAAAGGGTAATATTAAGGTAACTGGGAATGATAATGCAATTAGCTATGTATCTGTCTACTATCTGGTGTAGATTTGTTTCAGTATTGGTGAGAGGGCATATTGACATGTTTAAATGGAACAAGGTGCTGGTGCAACATGAAGAGATGAGCCAGCTCTGTCCTCCAGCTGGACAACCTAAACATCTTCTCTTTGTCATCTCTCCTCTGCCCTGCCCCCTTCTTCCTGTTAAGTATTTCCTGAGTGGTTTCATTATTTAGTGTGGTCACAGTTTGGCAGCAGAAAGTATTAGAAATGATCTGTTTTATCCCCTTGTTCCAACTTTATAAATGAGGGGGGAAAAAGTTTAGTTGATGCCTTGGAATCACATAGTTGGTTGTAGCAGAACCTCCGGTAAAACCTCCACTCTGAGTCTGTGTTATTTTTCAGAATGAGATGCTGCTCATTCAGGTCAGTCTGATCATCTCTGTAAATTTAAGTCACCACCTTTTCAAGGGAGGAATTACATTTTGCACATATGTCTTTGCGTGAGGAAAGTTGAGTTCCTCTTTGATTAGCTGTGTCTGTGTAATAAAATTGTCACTGTTCATATAATAGCTCAGAGCACTGTAAGAGCACTTTAAGGATAACTCAGCACATAACTGCCTTTTGCCCTTTTTTATGTGTTATGTCTATAGTTTTAGGTCAGGAGATCAAAGTATGTTCTGCCATTAAAATTCCTTCCACCTGCAAAATAACTAATGAAACTGTATCCATAACTGCATGTGGGTAGTTGTTTCAGCTTAGACTCATTAGAACACTTGTAGACATTTTTTTCTGCATCATGGCATATTTTTCATGTTTTTTTTTTTTTCTGTAAAATTAGGGTTAGCATGCTATAGCTAGTTGTGACCTTGTAGCCTCTTTTTGTACAGTCTGCAGCCTAAGATTCGTTCTTATATTTTCAGAGTGTATTTACAAAATAAAACAAAACAATGAAGAATATGTAGCCATATGTGTTCCACAAAACTAAAAAAATATTTACTAACTGGCTCTTTGCAGAAAAAGTTTGTTGACCCTTGCTTGAAATTAAAAACTGTTTTTGGTTGGTAACATTTCAAAGCTTTTTATCAAGACTTATGAAAAACAAACTCTGTCATATTTATATTTTTATCCAAGATGATATCAACATTTGGCTGAGCATAATCCAGATATGCAGAGTAAGTTGATTTTAATTTCATAGTTATTTTCCTTGGTTTCAACTTTTCAAACAAAAACTTGCAAGGAACATGCAAGTTCTCATTGAACATTTTGTGTTTAAAGCCCTATTTTAATGTCATTGTGTTCTTTGTTAGCTGCCAGTATGTTTCCCATGAAAGTAACAGCTTTGATAACACTGGTTCAGAAAAAGTAGAATTTATTACTAAGTAATTAGGGGTTAAATTCATCCCCTCAGTTAGTGAATGGAAAAAGGCATTCTACAAATGCAGACAGCACAAGGAAACCGAGTGTTGGATTCAGATGTGGATCTGTTATAAGAATAAGTGAACTTTAATGAAAG